TTTTCTTTACACTTTTTTTATTTTTTTTAATAAATTTTATTGTTATATTCCCCATACAATTGCAGCCCCCCCATTCTGACCCCAATCCCTCCCCTCCCACCCCCGCCCCCCTAAAAGTGTCTCTGGTTCATAGTTTTTTGTTGATTTTGATTTTCACTTTCTTGTAGTTATTCATTTTCCTGGTCCCTTATTTAAGTTTTCTAGATTCCTGCTATGAGTGAGACCATCCGGTATTTTTCTTTTTCTTTTTGGCTTATTTCGCTGAGCATGATCCCTTCCAGCGCCATCCATGTTGCTGCAAATTGCATGTGTTTACCTTTTTTTGTTTTTTTTTTTTTTTTTTTTTTTTTTTCTTTTTTTATAGAGGCATGTTTTTTATTTATTTATTTGTTTGTTTGTTCGTTTGTTTCGTTTATACATGCACTGGGTACAGTCAGAAGCACGGGAGGGTGAGAGAATTCACCAGAGCCAGAGCCGGGAGCAGAGCAGGCAGAAGGACCGAGGTACACTGCTGAGGGGAGCAGCGGGCGGCAGGAGAGGTCTGCGCGCCATGTGGGACCCTCCTCTGGTGGCCGGGAGCAGCCGGGGATCGAACCGGCGCCGCAGAGGCTGCGGGCAGCTTCGCAACCCAGCGCTCAACCGCTGTGCCACCGGGAAGGCCCGTGTTTATCTTTTTGAATGCTGAGTAATATTCCATGGTATATATGTACCACATCTTCTTGATCCAGTCATCTATTTTTGGGCATTTGGGTTGTTTCCAAAGCTTAGCTATTGTAAATAGTGCTGCTATAAACATAGGGGTGCAGGTGTTCTTTGGAATTGATGTTTCTGTGTCCTTTGGGTAAATACCTAGGAGTGGAATTGCTGGATCATATGGAAGCTCTATGTTTAGTAGGTCCAGAAATCTCCATACAGCTTTCCACAGTGGTTGGACCAGTTTGCACTCCCACCAACAGTGCAGAAGAGTTCCTTTTTCTCCACACCCTCGCCAACATTTGTTGTTGCTAGTTTTTTTAATATGTGCCATTCTCACTGGTGTAAGATGGTATCTCATGGTAGTTTTGATTTGCATTTCCCTGATGACAAGTGATGTTGAACATTTTTTCATATGCCTGTTGGCCATTTGCATTTCCTCTTCAGAGAAGTTTCTTTTAAGCTCTTCTGCCCATTTTTTGACTGGATTATTTTCTTTGTTGTTGTTGAGTCTCATCAGCTCTTTGCAGATTTTTGTGATCAGTCCTTTATCATTAGTGTTGGGTGCAAAAATGTTCTCCCAGTTGGTGGGGTTTCTCTTTGTTTTTGTTATTGTCTCTTTTGCTGTGCAAAAGCTCTTTAATTTGATGTAGTCCCAGCTGTTTATCTTTGTACAGGCACTACACTTTTGAGCTTCAAGGATACTCCTTAGAGAGACCACCCATCCCCCTTGGTCCCAGATACATCCCTACCAGCCAGGTGATGTGCTGTCTGGGTAAAAGTTTGGAAAAATGAACCTCTCAACCCCCTATGGGTTGGCCCCTCCACTGTTATTTTAACTACCCCTCCTGATTTAAGGGTCTCAGGCTTCACCCCTGGGTACACACTGCAGAGTTAAATGAGCCTGCAATCCAGAAGAGGAAGGCGCTTTAGCTAGTGGGTGGAGAGCAGTCCCTGAACAGGATCATCCTCTCCGCCGAGACTGTGAAAGGGTCAGCCCAGCCAGCCGGCTCCAGACAGCAGCCCTGCTCCTACCACAACCGGGAAACTGGTCAGTCTATGCTTGAGGACAGAAGCTTGAGGACCCTCCACGTGTGTGACTTCTGGTTTACTATTCCAACTGGTCTCCTGGTAGCCCTCCTGGCAGTTGGTCTGGCCACAGTGGCCCCTCATAGCTGGGGCTGGAAGGCCAGACTCCTTGCCTTAGGCTTCCTGACACTGTGTGGTGGCATAATTGTTCCAAGTGCCTTGTAAGATGACCTTGCTTGTCAATGTTCAACTATACCTGCTCCTCACCACCCCCACCTCCTGTATCAGGGGCTTATCTTCTGAACTCTGAATGACTGTGACCTGAAGATGGGAATTCCTGATCCTTCCATGGAACACCCCAGCTGTCCCAGAGAGCATTGTTCCAGCCACTCCTGGATTTCAGGGCTTCCTGAGCCCTAGTGCAAATCCTGCCATGTATGAGGGGCACTGAGCTGTGTGTTTTTCAGGCCGGGTATGCTTTGTGGGCAGCTCAGCACTCAGCCATTCTCAACATTCCCATGTGAAGTAGAGCTGGGGACACCGGGTACAAGAGTGAACTTGTTGTTGGGTAATCATATCTGGAGGTGTCTGGTTTGACTTGGGCTGCAGGAAACCAGGCCTGAGGAGCTGTAGCTCAACATTTGCTTGGACACTGACTCCTTGGCTGGCTGTTTCACTGCCCTGAGCCTCACTTTGCTCACCTGTCAAATGGGCCATCTTAGGGAAGCCTAGAGGTAAAAATTCAGCAAAAGCTCATAGATAGCTTTAAACATTTTATATAATGATTGCTTCTATTTGTAATGGACAATAAACACTGGAGGACATTCTGACAGATTCACCAGGAGCTGGAAGTGCTGCCCTATAGAAGGGATGATGTCAGGAATTTGAGCTTCCACGGGGGATCCTACCTCTCCATGTGTAGAGAATTTATTCTGGAAGAGGGGATTTGGTTTTTACCTCCTGACACCAGCTCTCTGGGGCACCAGCTGGGTGTCCTACAACTCAGTTCAATACTGACATGAACTCCCCAGACTCAGCACAGGACCCAGGGGTTCAAGGGCTTAGTTCTGTACACAGGACCACTCCCCACTTCACATGGCAGTTGCCAGTGAGGTGCCCTGATTATCCACCCTGTTTGTTCATCCTGCAGATAAATTCCAAAGTCCTCACAACCCCACAAATGCTTTCAGGTTTGATAGTTTCCTAGACTGACCCTCAGGCCTCAGGAGCAGTCTCCTTGGTGGTTTAGGATACAAGTTTTTGGCTCAGGACCCACCAAGGGATGCAGCACAGGGTGAGGCTTGGAGAGTGCAGAAGCTTATGAGCCCTGTCCAGGTGCACCATTCTAGTACTTCCCTGTTTCACCAACAAGGAAACTTCAGCCTGAAAAGGCTTTTTATTGTTAGGTTTCATTGCATGGGCAGGACTGATGAAATCCTTGGCTTTAGTAGGAGCCTATTCTCACTCAGCCCCTCTCCCTGGAAGCCTTAGATAAAACTGTGCACTGAACAGCAGTAGCTTCTCGACCTTTTGTTAAATATACTTGAGTCTATGAAATTCCGGCCTCTGTCTTCTTTGACAAGAATAAACACACCCACATTATCATCTTCCAAGATCTAGAAATAGTCTCTAGGGCAAAGTACGGTGTTATCAACAAAGATTTAGCAAAAAAAAAAAAAAAAAAAAAACCCAAGCCACCTGTCTTAGGGCAGCCTGCAGGCCTAGTCCTCCCAGGGACACAATCTACTGTGTCATTGACAATAGGACACACCCTCTCACTGAGGAGTCTCTTGACTATTGGCTGCATTCTACTCTCAATTTAATGTTGGATGATTTTACTCCTAATTTGTATTTAAATGTTAACTTACTTCCTTATTTGTGTAACAAGCTCTTCCACAAGGAGACTGGTTTCTGCCTTACATGCGGAAAGGACCCATCCTCAAACTCTTAGACCCTCCCCCTGGAAGGCAACCTTTGTCTTTCTGGTCGCCAAGCTTCCCTGAAGTTTCCTAGGGCCCAGCCCAGTCATCCTTTAGTATAAAAGGACCCTCTGAGCACTCCTGAGATTCCCAGGGTTGTAGCAGCTGAGGTCACAAACCAAATATTTTTATGTATTACATCAAAAGGAGGCTCCTGGGATTTTGGGTCAACAAAATGAGCAGACCACCCAAGGGGTGGGCAAAAATATTAGCAAATTATATACCAGGTAAGGAGTTCATGTCCAAAACGTATAAAGAATAAAAATCCGTAATCCAATTAATAACAGACTTGAACAGACATTTTCGAAAAGCAGATATGCAGATGAACAAGTTAACAAAAAGGTCCTCAGTATCACTCATCATCAAGTAAATGCAAATCGAGAGGCAAATTGGGAGACCCTGTCACACTCCTCTGCAAGATTATGAACAAAAGTCAAGAGGTAAGCCATGGCGAGCTGCGGGGAGGAGGAAACGGGGTGGGGAACTCCCTAAGCAGCAGCCAGTGCAGGAGACGTCCCTGCCCAGGAATGTGGTTCTGGGTTCCATGGCTCTGTCTCCCAGTGCTTGTGTCTCCAAGAAAGGGCAGGAGTCACCATGAAGACATTAAAGGCCCCTCCCCAACCTCTCCTTTTGCTCACGGGAAAGGCACATCCAGACAGACACTGCTGGACAGACCTCCTGATCTGGGATCCAGGAAATGTACACCCTGTCCTGGGTCTATCTCCGACTCCCCATGTGAGTCTCCACACCCCTCTGAGCCTTAGGTCTCCCTGTGGAATGAAGAGCCTCCGCCCCCCTGGGCTGCAGGTCTTGTGTCCTGGTCTTGTGTCCTGAGCACCTGCTGGGTGTTAGATCTGTGCCGAGTGTTTACCGTGGGTCTCTTCACCCTCACACAGTCCACAGCACAGGCTCCTGCTCTCCTATGTCACAGATGGGGACCCCGAGACGGAGTAGGGAAAGGATAGAGCCAGGAGGACAGGCCAGTGTCTTCCTAGGAGCTGACAGGACACCTACCCCCTCCCTCCCAGGGCCCCTCTGAAAGTCAGCTTCCTCCTCTCTGGGCTCCAAACACCCCTCCGGGCAGGTGAGGGCACATGGGGTGCTGGGAATGCACCTGTCAGGTGAAGGGTCCTGTAAGCTCTGCCTCCTCTCGTCCCGGATCCACTCTTGAATAGACTGGGCCCCAGTCACTGACTAGAAGAAAGTCTAGGAAGGTTCAGGGGTGGGGCCCGAGGGGGCAGAGGTGGTGGGGGGAGCAGAAGATTGACAACAGGCAGAGGGCACTTTGTCTACTCACCAGTCGCATAAGGTAGGTTGTTGTGCATCCATGAGTCACTCTGGAGTAGAGGTAGCTGAGGTTGAGGATTGTAGCTCCCTGAGGGATAGAGAGGGATGGTGAGGTGGGGTGAGGGATTGGGAGGTGAGGGGCATTAGGCAGGCAGGGAAGTGGTCACCCTGGCCCCACCCCACCATCCCCCAAAGCAAGACTCCATTGGGTTCATTCATCTCCTGGTAATGATTGCCCAGTTTCACACCCCAGGAAACCTGCCAGTGGGTAGTGTTGGGGGAGGAAGGCAAAGGGAAGTGGTAGAAAAGCCATAGTAAGGAGGAGCCCAGGGGAGAGGGAGACACCACACAAGGTCAGGACACCTGGGATCTGGGGCATTGGGGGCATCATTCAGGATCTCTGGTGGGGTGGGAGTGATGGAGGACAAGAATAGTGAAACTGGAAAGGAGGCCTCCCAAGACTAAACCCTGACTCACACAAGGAGGTAGGGGTCGAGGGAATAACATGATCATTAACCCAGCCTTAGAGGTCGGGACCCTTAGGCACCAGGCCTTATCACAAGGCATGAGACCCAGGCAGGAGCAGATGCTATGGGGAGTGGAGCACAGGCCCTAGGGTAAAGAGATGGAGTTGAGCCCTGTCCTGGAATCTCTGATCCGCTCCTGGTTTTCCTGTTACCCAACAGTAGCAAGAAGCTGGCCACTCCAAGGAGGAGTGACCCTTCCCAAAGAGAAAAGGTCTATATCAGTGCAGGCTCTGCACAGGCTCAGGGCAGCACCCCCACTGGCCCCTGTGGCCATATAGGTGCTTCTTCTTACCAATTCTCTCTTCTGCAGGGCAGCAGCCTCCCTGCCTGGCCTTTATCTGCACCAGGACTTTGCTTCACTGACCTCCCTCAGCAGAGGCCATTCTCCCCAAGGTCACCTGCCTGGGACCATGCAGGCCTCTCAGCAAACCCTGTCCCTTTCAGGGCAACTCTTCCTGCCCACTGGTGTCTATGTAAGTGTCTTTCACCCTTCTGTCCCTGTTGCTAATAAACCTGTTCTTTGAATATATCTAATGTCTCTACCTCATGGAGAAATTGGCCAAGAAACTCACTGCTTGCTGCTGACCGGGAAGCCCGAGTGAGATCTTACCCAGATGAACCCAAGTGCCCCCTTGCTCTACAAAAATACATCAGGAGGGGGAGGGTGGTGGGGTGACACCCACTGATCTGTGTCCTCTGAGTCTTTCCTCTCCTGGACCTGGAATCTGGGGTCCCAGCCTTGAGCTTGATGTTGACAGGAGTTGGGGTTTTCAGGGGATTGAGCTCAGAGCATCCACCCCCAGGTATCCTCAGACCTGGCCTGGCCCTGGGGCACCAGGTAAGAAGAACAGGCAGGCCTCAAGCAGCCAGAGCAGGAAGTCACCCAGAGGAAAGCACACTGGGGTGTGGCCAGGGGAGTAGAAGGGTCAGGGCAGGCCTGCTAAGGGCAAAGATTCAGAGCAGGGCACCCCCATTAGCCACCTCCACACACAGGCCAGGGAGTGGAATCAGGGCGCTCACCATGCTAGGCAGGGATCACACAGGTGCACCCACCTTCAGAGGGGCGCCCTGCCCTTAACCTGCATGGAGAGTGTGGGCTTTCCAGGGAGGTAGGTTTGGGGTGCAATGAAGCTCTCAGAAGGAAACGACAACAGTCCCAGGGATCATTGTTTCAGCCACTCCTGGATTTCAAGGTTCCCGAGCACCGTTGCAAATCCTGCCATGCATGAGGGGCACTGAGCTGTGTGTGTTCCAGACATGGTGGGCTTTGCAGGCAGCTCAGCACTCAGCCAATCTCAACATTCCCTCCTGAAGCAGAGCTGGGGACACAAGGTGCAAGAGTGACACATGCCCACCCTTGCCTATTGGGGAATCCTTGCTGGAGGTGTCTGGCTTGACCTGGGCTGGAGGAAGCCAGGCCTGAGGAGCTGCAGCTCAAACTCACTTTGACACGGATTCCTTGGGTGGCTGATTCATTGCCCTGAGCCTCCCTTTGGTCACATGCCAAACAGGTCATCTTAGGTGAGCCAAAAGGTAAAAAATTCAGCAAAAGCTCATAGAAAGCTTTAAGCATTTTACATGATTACGTCTATTTCTAATGGACAATATGCATTGCAGGACATTCCGACAGTCATATTCACCAGGAGCTGAAAGGACTCCCCTAAAGGAGGGATGTGTCAGGAATTTGAGCCTCCATGGGGAACGCTTCCTCTCCATGTGTAGAGAATTTATTCTGGAAGAGGGGTTTGGGATTTTACCTCCTGACACCAGGTCTCTGGGAAACCAGCTGGGTGTCCCACAACTCAGGTCAACACTGACATGAACTCCCCAGACTCAGCACAAGACCCAGGGTTTCCACAGTGATTCATCCTGTACTGCAGGACGGCTCCCCACCTCAGATGGCAGTTGCCACTGAGATGCCCTGATTATCCACCATGTTTGTTCATCTTACATTCAAATTCCAAAGTCCTCACAACCCCACAAATACTTTCAGGGTTGAGAGTTTCCCAGACTGACTCTCAGGCCTCAGGAACAGTCTCCATACTGGTTTAGGATACAGGTGTTTGGCTCAGGACCCGCAAAAGGATGCAGCACAGGCTGAGGGGTGGGAGGTGCAGGGGCTCCTGAGCCCTGTCCATGTGCGGTCCTCCCAGCACCTCCGTGTTTCCCCAACAGGGAGACTCCAGCCTGAAAACCCCGTCTATATTTAGGTTACATTGCGTAGGCAGAACTGATGAAATCCTTGGCTTTAGTGGGGAGGCGAATCTCAGCCCCTCTCCCTGGAAGCCTTGGATCAAACCATGCACTGAGCAGCAATAGCTACAACCTTCTGTTAAATAGCCTCGAGTCTATCCAATTCCCTCCGCTCTTCTTTTTCTAGCCTCCCCTAATGTCAAGTGAGGAAAATATGAGGACTTGATGTCCTTCTACCAAGGAAAGCTTGTAACCCTTCTCCTCCCCCCTCCACCTCATCCCCCCACCCCTGTCAACTTTGAAGAGAATAAACACAACCATGCTCCTTTCTTCAGGGGTCCAGCAACAGTCAAGTACAAAACAGTCATCTCAATATGGATTTAGCAAACAAACAATCAGAAAAACAACACCCCAACCCACTTGTCTTAAGGCAGCCTGCAGACCTAGTCCTCCCCAGGGACACAGTCTACTAGATCAATGACAACAGGACACACCCTCTCACTGAGGAGTCTCTTTTGGCTTCTGGCAGCCTCCCTGCCTGGCCTTTATCTGCACCTGCCAGGACTTTGCTTCACTGACCTCCCTCAGCAGAGGCCGTTCTCCCCAAGGTCACCTGCCTTGGGCCATGCAGGCCTCTCAGCAAACCTGTCCCTTTCAGGGCAACTCTTCCTGCCCACTGGTGTCTATGCAAGTGTCTTTCACAGAAGTGTCTTTCTGTCCCTTTCACTAATAAACCTGTTCTTTAAATATAGTGAATGTCTCTGCCTCATGGAGAAACTGGCCAGGAAATTCGCTGCATGCCACTGACCAGTAAGCCCTAGTGAGACCTTTCCCAGAGTGAACCCAAGTGCCCCCGTGCTCTACAAAAATACATCAGGAGGGTGAGGGAGGGTGGGGTGACACCCACTGATCTGTGTCCTCTGAGTCTTCCCTCTCCTGGACCTGGACTCTGGGGTCCCAGCCTTGAGATTGATGCTGACAGGATGTCACCCCCAGGTCTCCTCAGACCTGGCCTGGCCCTGGGGCACCAAGTAAGAAGAACAGGCAGGCCTCAAGCAGCCAGAGCAGGAAGTCACCCAGAGGAAAGCACACTGGGGTGTGGCCAGGGGAGCGGAGGGGTCAGGGCAGGTCTGCTAAGAGCAAAGATTCAGAGCAGGGCACACCCATCAGCCACCTCCGCAGAGAGGCCAGGTAGTGGAATCAGGGATCTCACCATGCTAGGCAGGGATCAAACAGGTGCAGGTACTTCAGAGGTGTCCCCGCCCCTAACCTCCATGTAGAGTAGGCTTTCCAGTGAGGTAGGTTTGGGGTGCATTGCAGCTCTCAGAAGGAAATGACAGCAGTCCCGGGGAGCATTGTTTCAGCCACTCCTGAATTTCAAGGTTTTTTGATCCTCATTGCAAATCCTGCCATGTATGAGGGGCACTGAGCTGTGTGTGTTCCAGGCCTGGTGGGCTTTGCAGGCAGCTCAGCACTCAGCCAAACTGAACATTCCCTCAGGAAGCAGAGCTGGGGACACCAGGTGCAAGAGTGACACCTGCTGACACTTGCCTGTTGGGGAATCCTTGCTAGAGCTGTCTGGTTTGACCTCAGCTGGAGGAATACAGGCCTGAGGAGCTGCAGCTCAGACCAGCTTGGAAACAGATTCCTTGGTTGGCTATTTCGTTGCCCCGAGCCTCACTTTGCTCACCCTTCAAATGGAACAGGGCTCGGGACCCATGAAATCCAAGTGGCTGGAATAGTTTTATCTTAGACTTCCAGGGTGTGGGGCTGATTTAGACTCTTATTAAAGCTAAGGATTTCATCAATCCTTCCTGTGCCATGGTACTTTAAAATTAGAAAGCATTTTCAGGCTGGTGTTTCCTTGTTGGTGAAACACGGAGGTGCAGGAAACTGAACAGCAATATCTGCAACCTTTATTTATATATACTCCATCTATCCAATTCCCTCCCTTCTCTTCTTTTTCCACCCTTGCCTACTTGTGCAGTGAAGAAAATATCAATACTTGGTGTCCTTTCTACCAAAATATGCTTTAAACCTCCTCTCAACTGTAACATAAATAAATAAACCCACAATATCATCTACTGAGATTCAGCAATGGTCTGTAGTGCAATGTACAATCATCTCAATAAATACTGAGCAATAAAGCAAACACAGGAACAAAAAACAATAACCCAGGTCACCTTTCTTAAGGCAGCCTGCAGGCCTAGTCCTCCTCAGGGACACAAACTTCTATATCATTAACAGGACATACCCTCTCACTGAGGAGTCTCTTTTGGCTTTGGCTCCATTGGACTCTCATTTTAATATGGGTGATGTTAGTCCTAATTTGAATTTGAATGTTAACCTCACTACCTTGTTTGTATATTGAGTTCTTCCAGAAGGAGACTGGGTTCTGTCTTACATGAGGAAAGGACCCATCCTCAAACTCTTTGCCCCTCTCCCTGGAAGCCAACCTTTGTCTTTCTGGTCACCAGGCTCGCCCTGTACTTTCTTGGGCCCAGCCCAGTCATCCTTTAGCATTAAAGCACCCGCCTCACACTCCTGAGATTCCCAGGGTTTTAGTGGCTGAGGTCACAAACCAAGGATTTGTCCATTATCATAAGGGGGCTCCTGGGATTTTGGGTCCACAAATGGGAAGGCCACCCTTGGGGTGGGTAAAGATACTTGGAAATTATATACCAGACAGGAGTTCCTGTCCAAAATATATAAGAAATATAAATCAAAAATCCAACTAAAAATCAATAAATTGGATAGACATTTTCAAAAAGCAGGTATGCAAACGATCAAGATCACGAAAGGGTGCTCAGTATCACTAATTATCAGGTAAATGCAAATTAAAAGGCAAAATGAGAGACCATGTCACCCTTGTCTGCGAGATTATGACCAAAAGTCAAGAGGTAAGCAATGCTGAGCCAGCAGGGAAGAGGGAACGGGTGGGGATCTCTCAAAGCAACAGCTAGTGCAGGAGACATCCCTGCCCAGGAACGTGGATCTGGGTTCCATGGCTCTGTCTCCCAGGGCTTGTGTCCCCAAGAGAATGCAGGGGACACCTCAGAAGCCATGTAGGCTCCTCCCCAACCTCTCCTGGGAAAAGGACCCCCAGACAGACACTGCTGGACAAACGTCCTGATCAGGGACCCAGGAAATAGACAACCCTGTCCTGGTTCTCTTCCTGCATCCCTGAGCACTGAGCCTCAGCTCTCCCTTGTGGCATGAAGACCTCCACCTCCTGGGGCTGCTGGGAGTAACAACAGCAACACAGCAGTAGCAGCTGTGCTCCTGTGTACTGAGCACCTACTAGGTGTTACATCTGTGTGGAGTGTTTACCCTGGATTCTCTCTGTCACCCTCACAAAGTCCACAGAGGCAGGCTCTTGCTGTCCCATTTCACAGATGGGGACCCTGAGGTGGAGCATCGAAGCGGTAGAGCCAGGAGCCCAGGCAGTGTCTGCTTGGGAGCTGGGCGCGAAATGCAACCCCTCCCTTCCAGGGCCTTTCTGAATGTCAGCCTCCTCCTCTGGCTCTGAGCACCCCTCCCGGGCAGGTGAGGGCACATGGCGTGCTGGGAATGCAGTTGGCAGATGAGGAGTCCTGTAAGAGCTGCCTCCTCTGGTCTGGGAACCTCCCTTGGATAGAGGGGCCCCTGTCAGTGACTATAAGAAGGTTTAGAAGGGTTCAGGGTGGGCCCAAGGGGGAGAGGTGGTGGGAGAGCAGAAGAGGACAACAGGCAGAGGGCACTTTGTCTACTCACTTGATTTAGGCACCATAGCTTTTGGGGCATTAGCCAACCATTGCCACTGTAACTTCTTTCGACCCTTCATCTGAGAATTGTGTCTTGGAGGCCGGTGACCAGAATCGAAGTCTTCATCACTCTTTTGTGGCTCATTCTTCGTTATTTGCTTAGCTTCTTGTTGGGTTCTCACTGGGAGAGGAGGGGGTGGAGGGGAGCAAGATCAGGCAGGCAGGGAACAGTGCACCCCTTGACCCCATTCCCCTCCTGCTAAGCTCCTACCCAGCACTCACTAAGAGCCAGCTTTTCACACCCCAGAACCTGCCAGCAGGTGGTGCTGGGGAAGGAGGGAGAGGGGGAGTGGTAGAAAAGCCCTAGGAAGGAGGAGCCCAGGGGAGTGTGAGACACTGGACAAGGTCAGGAGATCTGGGGTCTGGGAAGAGGGGGTCACATTCAGGATGCCTGATGGGAAGGCAGGGTGAGGGATGGGGGTGACACCCACTGATCTGTGTCCTCTGAGTCTTCCCTCTCCTGGACCTGGAAACTGTGGTCCTAGCCTTGAGCTTGATGCTGCTAGGTGGTCAAATCAAATTAGCGAACAACAAAACAACAACCCAGACACCTGTCTTAAGGCAGCCTGCAGGCCTATCCTCCCCAGGGACACAATCTACTGTATCAATGACAGAAGGACACACCCTCTCACTGAGAAATCTCTTTTGGCTTTTGGCTGCACTGGACTCTCATTTTAATATGGGTGATGTTAGTCCTGATTGGAATTTGAATGTTAACCTCACTTCCTTGTTTGTATACTGAGTTCTTCCAGAAGGAGACTGGGTTCTGTCTTACATGAGGAAAGGACCCATCCTCAAACTCTTTGCCCCTCTCCCTGGAAGCCAACCTATGTCTTTCTGGTCACCAGGCTTGCCCTATACTTTCTTGGGCCCAGCCCAGTCATCCTTTAGCATTAAAACACCCTCTCAGCACTCTCAGATTCCCAGGGTTTTAGTGGCTGAGGTCACAAACCAAGGATTTGTCTATTACATCATAAGGGGGCTCCTGGGATTTTGGGTCCATAATGGGAAGGCCACTCTTGGGGTGGGTAAAGATATTTTCAAATTATATACCAGAAAGGAGTTCCTGTCCAAAATGTATAAAGACTATAAATAAAAAATCCAACTAAAAATCAATAAATTGAATAGACATTTTCAAAAAGCAGGTATGCAAATGATCAAGATCACGAAAGGGTGCTCAGTATCACTAATCATCAGGTAAATGCAAATCAAAAGGCAAAATGAGAGACCATGTCACCTTGTCTGCGAGATTATGAACACAAGTCAAGAGGTAAGCAATGCTGAGCCAGCAGGGAAGAGGGAACGGGTGGGGATCTCTCAAAGCAACAGCTAGTGCAGGAGACATCCCTGCCCAGGAACGTGGATCTGGGTTCCATGGCTCTGTCTCCCAGGGCTTGTGTCCCCAAGAGAATGCAGGGGACACCTCAGAAGCCATGTAGGCTCCTCCCCAACCTCTCCTGGGAAAAGACCCCCAGACAGACACTGCTGGACAAACCTCCTGATCAGGGACCCAGGAAATGGACAACCCTGTCCTGGTTCTCTTCCTGCATCCCTGAGCACTGAGCCTCAGCTCTCCCTTGTGGCATGAAGACCTCCACCTCCTGGGGCTGCTGGGAGTAACAACAGCAACACAGCAGTAGCAGCTGTGCTCCTGTGTACTGAGCACCTACTAGGTGTTACATCTGTGTGGAGTGTTTACCCTGGATTCTCTCTGTCACCCTCACAAAGTCCACAGAGGCAGGCTCTTGCTGTCCCATTTCACAGATGGGGACCCTGAGGTGGAGCATCGAAGCGGTAGAGCCAGGAGCCCAGGCAGTGTCTGCTTGGGAGCTGGGCGCGAAATGCAACCCCTCCCTTCCAGGGCCTTTCTGAATGTCAGCCTCCTCCTCTGGCTCTGAGCACCCCTCCCGGGCAGGTGAGGGCACATGGCGTGCTGGGAATGCAGTTGGCAGATGAGGAGTCCTGTAAGAGCTGCCTCCTCTGGTCTGGGAACCTCCCTTGGATAGAGGGGCCCCTGTCAGTGACTATAAGAAGGTTTAGAAGGGTTCAGGGTGGGCCCAAGGGGGAGAGGTGGTGGGAGAGCAGAAGAGGACAACAGGCAGAGGGCACTTTGTCTACTCACTTGATTTAGGCACCATAGCTTTTGGGGCATTAGCCAACCATTGCCACTGTAACTTCTTTCGACCCTTCATCTGAGAATTGTGTCTTGGAGGCCGGTGACCAGAATCGAAGTCTTCATCACTCTTTTGTGGCTCATTCTTCGTTATTTGCTTAGCTTCTTGTTGGGTTCTCACTGGGAGAGGAGGGGGTGGAGGGGAGCAAGATCAGGCAGGCAGGGAACAGTGCACCCCTTGACCCCATTCCCCTCCTGCTAAGCTCCTACCCAGCACTCACTAAGAGCCAGCTTTTCACACCCCAGAACCTGCCAGCAGGTGGTGCTGGGGAAGGAGGGAGAGGGGGAGTGGTAGAAAAGCCCTAGGAAGGAGGAGCCCAGGGAGTGTGAGACACTGGACAAGGTCAGGAGATCTGGGGTCTGGGAAGAGGGGGGTCACATTCAGGATGCCTGATGGGAAGGCAGGGTGAGGGATGGGAGTGACACCCACTGATCTGTGTCCTTTGAGTCTTCCCTCTCCTGAACTCTGGGGTCCCAGCCTTGAGCTTGATGCTGACAAGAGGTGGGGGTTTCAGGTGTTTGAATGCAGGGCATCCTCCACAGGTCTCCTCAGACCTCACCTGGCCCTGGGACACCAACTGAGAAGAACAGGCCTCAGGCAGCCAGAGTGGTAGTCAACCAGTGGAAAGCACGCAGGGGTGTGGCTGAGAGTGGAGGGGACAGGGCAGGCCTGCTAAGGGCAAAGACTTGGTCAGGCACCCCCATCAGCCACCTCCACGCACAGGTCAGGGAGTGGAATCAGGGTGCTCACCATGCTGAGCAGGGATCACACAGGTGCAGGCACCTTCAGAGGGATGCCCTGCCCCTAATCTGCATGGAAAGTGTGGGCTTTCCTGGGAGGTAGGTTTGGGGTGCAATGCAGCTCTCAGAAGGAAAGGACAGAAGTCCCAGGGAGCATTGTTTCAGCCACTCCTAGATTTTAGGGTTCCCGAGCCCCATTGCAAATCCTGCCATGTATGAGGGGCACTGAGCTGTGTGTGTTCCAGACATGGTGGGCTTTGCAGGCAGCTCAGCACTCAGCCAATCTCAACATTCCCTCCTGAATCAGAGCTGGGGACCCCAGGTAGAAGAGTGATACCCGCAGACCCTTGCCTGTTGGGGAATATTGCTGGAGGTGTCTGGCTTGACCTGGGCTGGAGGAAGCCAGGCCTGAGTAGCTTTAGCTCAGACTTGCTTGGACACAGATTCTTTGGGTGGCTGATTCATTGCCCTGAGCTTCCCTTTGCTCACCTGCCGAACAGGTTATCTCCGGTAAGCCAAGAGGTAAAAATTCAGTAAAAGCTCATAGAAACCTTTAAACATTTTGCATGATTACTTCTATTTTTAATGGACAATACGCACTGCAGGACATTCTGAGAGTCAGATTGACCAGGAGCTGAAAGGGTTTCCATAAAGGAGGGATGTGTCAGGAATTAGAGCCTCCATGGGGAACACTTCCTCTTCATGTGTAGAGAATTTATTCTGGAAGAGGGGTTTGGGTTTTTTATCTCCTGACACCAGCTCTCTGGGACACCTGCTGGGTGTCCTATAACTCAGGTCAACACTGACATGAACTCCCCAGACTCAGCATAAGACCTAGGATTTCAACAGGGCTTCATCCTGTACTGCAGGACCGCTCCCCACCTCAGATGGCAGTTGCCAATGAGGTGCCCTGATTATCCACCCTGTTTGTTCATCCTACATTCAAATTCCAAAGTACTCGCAGCCCCACAAATGCTTTCAGGGTTGATAGTTTCCTAGACTGACTCTCAGGCCTCAGGAACAGTCTCCTTACTGGCTTAGGACACAGGTGTTTGGTTCAGAATCCGCAAAAGGTGTAGCACAGGCTGAGGGGTGGGAGATGCAAGAACTCCTGAGCCCTGTCCATGTGCGGTCCTTCCAGCACCTCCCTGTTTCCCCAACAAGGACACTCCAGCCCGAAAACCCTTTCTACATTTAGGTTACATTGTAGCCAGAACTGACGAAATCCTTGGCTTTAGTGGCGATGCAAATCTCAGCCCCTCTCCATGGAAGCCTTGGATCAAACCATGCACTGAGCAGCAATAGCTACAACCTTTTGTTAAATAACCTCCAGTCTATCCAATTCCCTCCGCTCTTCTTTTTCTAACCTCCCTAAGTGTCAAGTGAGGAAAATATGATTACTTGATGTCCTTCTACCAAGGAAAGCTTGTAACCCTCCCCTTCCCCCACCCCCTCACCTCTCACCCCTGTCAACTTTGAAGTAATAAACACAACCAGGCTCCTATCTTCAGGGGTCCAATAATAGTCTAGTACAAAGTACAGTCATCTCAATGTAGATTTAGCAAACAAACAAAGAAACAGAAAAACAACACCCCAACCCACTTGTCTTAAGGCAGCCTGTAGGCCTAGTCCTCCCCAGGGACACAGTCTACTATATCATCGACAACAGGACACCCTCTCACTGAGGAGTCTCTTTTGGCTTCTGGCTGCACTGGACTCTCATTTAACGTTGGATGGGATTATTCCTGATTTGAGTTTGAATTTAACCTTACTTCCTTATTTGTATACCGAGTTCTTCCAGAGGAGACTGGTTTCTGCCTTATATATGGAAAGGACCCATCCTCAAACTCATAGCCCCTCTGGCTGAAGCCAACCTACGTCTTTCTTGTCACCAGGCTTGCCCTGTAGTTTCCTAGGGCCCAGCCCAGTCACCGGTTAGCTTCAAAGGACCCTCTAAGCATGCCAGCGGTTCTGGGGATTTTAGTGGCCGAGAACCCAAATCCAATGTTTTGTGTATCACATCATCAGGGGGCTCCTCAGGCTTTGGGTCAACAAAATGAGAAGGCCACCCATGGAGTGGGCAAAAATATTTTCCAATTATATGCAAGATAAGGAGTTCATGTCCAAAATGTATATAAAATCTAACTCAATAATCTCATTAAAAATCAGTAACAGACTCGAATACACATTTTTGACAAGCAGATATGCAAATGACCAAGTACAGGAAAAGGTGCTCATTATCTCTAATTATCAGATAAATGCAAATTAAAAAGCAAAATGGGAGCCCCTTTCACACTTGTCTGCAAGATTATGAACAAAGGTCAAGAGGTAAGCAGTGGTGAGCAGCACGGAGGAGGGATCGTGGTGGGGGTCTCCCCAAGCAGCAGCTGGTGCAGGAGACCTCCCTGCCCAGGAATGTGGTTCTGGGTTCCATGGCTCTGTCTCCTAGTGTTTGTGTCTCCAAGACAGCGCAGGGGACATCCGGAAGTCATTGCTGGCCCCTCCCCCAACACCTCCTGTTGCTCATGGGAAAACCAGCCCCAGACAGACACTGCTGGACAAACTTATGATCTGGGCCCAGGAAATACACACCCTGTCCTGGGTTTGTCTCTGCCTCCTGGTGTGAGTCTCTACCCACTCTGAGCCTCAGGTCTCCCCATGGCATGAAGAGCCTCCACCCCCCAGGGCTGCTAGAGCAACAGTAGCAGCAACAACAGCAGCAGCAGCAGCATCTGGACTCCTGTGTCCTGAGCACCTGCTGGGTGTTAGATCTGTGCCCAGTGTTTACCGTGGGTTCTCTCATCCACAGTGTCCACAGTGCAGGCATTTGCTCTCCCATGTCACAGATGGGGACCCTGAGGTGGAGCAGGAAAGGGGTAGAGCCAGGAGGCCAGGCTAGTGTCCTTTTGGGAGCTGGACGGGACACCTACCCCCTCCCTCCCAGAGCCCTTCTGAATGTCAGCCTTGTCCTCTCTGGGCTCTGAGCACCCCTCCCGGGCAGGTGAGGTCACATGGGGTGCTGGGAATGACCTGGCAGATGAAGAGTTCTGTAAGAACTGAGTCCTGTGGTCCGGATTCCCCATTGCATAGACTGGGCCTAAGTCACTAACCTGAAGAATGCTTAGGAGGATTCTGGGGTGGGGCCCAAAGGTGCTAGGTGGTAGGGAGAGCAGAAGATTGACATTAGGCAGAGTGCACTTTGTCTACTCACTTAAACAGGAACTTACCAACTAGGCCTGACCTTTCCAATGTTTTCAGATAGTTACGTCCCTTCTTTTCATCTTTTTCTTCTTTTCTTTTGATGGAGGAAAAAAAAAAACAAAAACAAAAACACTAAGCAAATCGTTGTAGTAACAGTCCCCATCAGATAATCATTTCAATCCAGGTGTAATTAGCATTCCAGTGTAGGTGCAATGAGCAAGTTTGCACACTTGCAAATCTTCCCTGTGAAGGATCCATGGCCAGGTCTCTACACCCCTCTCCAGACAAAGCTGCATTCCAGAAGGAAAGGAGAGAGAGAGGAAGACAGGCTGGGTTTCTTTGAATAATCTCTGGGTGGTGGCATCCCTCTCACCCACTTCCTATACTCTGCTTTTTAGGGTGAAATGGCCTTGCCTCCCACCAAATGGTTTGCCCCTTTTAAACCAATCTGTCACTCTTCCTGTGTAACAAATGTTGAGACAATTGTGTATAAAAAGGAATCTCTGGGCCTCCCGGTGGCGCAGTGGTTGAGCGCTGGGTTGCGAAGCTGCCTGCGGCCTCTGCAGCGCCGGTTCGATCCCCGGCTGCTCCCCGGCCACCGGAGGAGGGTCCCGCATGGCGCGCAGACCTCTCCTGCCGCCCGCTGCTCCCTCAGCAGTGTACTTCGGTCCTTCTGCCTGCTCTGCTCCCCGCTCTGGCTCTGGTGAATTCTCTCGCCCTCCCGCGCTTCTGACTGTACCCAGTGCTTGTATAAATAAATAAAAATAAATCTTTTAAAAAAAATAAAAAGGAATCTCTGCGTTAGCTCAAGGCCCAGACTTTTATTTAGGAGTGTTTTCCTGTGTCTGCGTCCACATGTGAGAAAATATAAATTTCCCAACTCACCTGCCCTAGAGTACAGTTTGTTTTTTCCTGTCAGCTTCCGCAACAAATTAGTGGGTTGTTCAGGAAAACCAGGCACTTCGCCCTTTGATGCCACTTGGGCCTAGGAGGAGGGCTGGTGGAGGTGGTGAGAGGAACTAAAGAAGGGGAAATCGGGCTCTGCTGGGAACTCTGGGGGTCTCCGACTTGGTTGCTTTTACCCAGACCCGCAACCTTGTCCAGGCCAGACTTAAAAGTGCTGAATGAGACCAGGACCTGGCACCGACGTCAGACAAGGTATGGTCCCGGTACCCTGTACCAACTCAGGCTACCCCGTAGGGGTAAGAGGAGAGACTGATCACCTTTCAAGAGATTTAGGGTCTCCCAGGCAGGGAACTCCCTAAAGAGGGAGGGAGTTGTTGCAACCTCTGGTGTGGAGGTGTGAGTGAATGATCTGGTCCTCCAACCAGGTGTTTGTGTGACCCCACAGCTGGGGAGCCCATAAGGGCCCCAAAAAGCTATGGAGCGCAAATGGGCCAGTCTGAGATACTGCTGTGAACATGATACAGTTACAAATGACTGGTCTCTTAGAGAGGCATTAACAAGTTTGTCTTTTCCCCATTTCTTGCAATTTCCCCCTTGATTGACAGGTTTGTCTTTAGGTAACAAGTCCTCCTGCATTTCAAGAAAGAGGGTGTTGAAGTAAGCTGGCGCCCTCCTGCTGACCCCTTCCCCCTTCCCTTAAGAAGAAAAATGATGACTGGATCAAGGGATATGGTACATATACACAATGGAATATTACTCAACAATCAAAAAGATAAACTCATGCCATTTTCAGCAACGTGGATGGAGTTGCAAGGGATCATGTTCAGCGAAATAAGCCAGAAAGAAAAAAAATACTGGATGGTCTCACTTATAGCAGGAACAGATGAATGTATGGAGAAACTGTGGAATATATATTCAATGGAATATTACACAGCTATGAAAGGATGAAACAGTGACATTTAGGACAAAATGGATGGACCTTAAGGTGACTATGTTGAGTGAATTAGTCAAAAGACAGTGAAAGATGGATTCTCTCATCTGTGGAATATAAATACCCAAAAAACAATTTGATGCAAACAAAGAAGAAATAAAAATTTGAGCTTTGCAAGGAGAAGATCATGGTTACCAGAGAGAATAAAGGAATGGGTGGAAGAGGTGGGGGTAGGAGGCAAAAGTTGTATGGACATGGGTGGTTTGGTGGAGGGAAAAAAAGAGAATTCATTAAAATAATTTTTAAAAGTGTTGTTAGCACATCATTGCTTTTATAGTACACTGTACTTGTTTGAATATTTACATTTGGGCCTCCTTGGTGGAGCTAGGGGTTAAGCACAACACTGTGAAGCTATCTGCACCCTCTGTAACACGAGTTCGATCCCTGGCCAGCCAGGGAGCTACCCACATGGCACAGCAGACCTCTCCTGTCTTGCCTGCTGCCCCCCTCAGCAGTGTATTTTTGGTCAGTCTGCCTGTTCTTTTCCCTGCTCTGTCTCTGGTGGATGTTCTCACTCCCGCACCTCTGGCCTGTACCCCAGTACTTGCGTGCATAAAGAAATAAATCTTTAAAAAAAATTTACATTTGGCGCTAAAAAAAAGAAAAAGAAAAAGAAAAATGAGCTGACATCCACCTGTCTCAAGCTGACCCCTTCGCAGACACTCGCCCATCTCCCCCTCGGTTAAATACCCCTGCACTCTGCCAAAGAGCCGGAAGGTTGTCTTTCAAAGATCTGAGATTTGTCGACAAATTAAATCACTTTCCTTTTCCTGAAACTCTGTTTCCTTTTATTGGCTGATGGAAACTGATTCCAGCATTTGGTAACAACTCCACACCCTTAACTCCAAAAAACGACATCAACATCTTGTCCTGACAGAGTTTCGCCGGCAACCATAGCAGCCACTGCTTTTCTGCTCTAATAAAACCTCTTTTACTGCAGATCCACTGCTCATCGTTTCCTTTCAACTCTGAACCTTTCCATTCCGTGGTGAAACCCCAGAGAGGAGCAGGGCCATGGGCCCCATCCTCAGATGTGGAGACTCTATCTCCTTTTCTCACCTTCTTTCTCTATACTTTGGGGCTCTGGTCACGGAAGACCCTTGCTGGTGCCAACAACCACATCCATGACCAATTGGGTGAGTGGCCTCTGGGACACTCCTCTGCCCTTTGGACAGGGGATGTAAGAAAAGGGCTGGGGCAAGGTTGGGGCAGGAAAGGGGAACTTGAAACTGTTGCCACCCCATTCTGGGAGTTAGCCAGTTTGCATTGGGTCTGATAAGCATCCCTGAAAACACATTTTCCGAAAAAAAAAAAAAACAAAAAAAAAAACGACTTCGGCTCTGCATTCTCAATTCCTGCCAAAGCCAGACCCAGCCTGATAAAACTTACCCTTATCCCCCAACGGGTGCAACTTCTGTGACCCCCATGGAGGTAGGCAAACCTCGCCCGGAGCGCAATAAAGTTCCTGCCTGTCAGACACTGGCCTGGCTCTCCTTCGGATCCTTTCTTGCTCTCACGGAAAGACCAGGCCAGGGCCATGACTTGGCGGGATCCGCGTCTCCGCACCCACATTTTGATCTCGCCCACTGTGGTTTGTTGTTTTGTCTCAGGGATGCCTGATTCATCTCCAGACTCACGTTCCTTTTCCCCCAAGTAAACCAGAGGGACACGTCTTTCACCCGGTGGAACACGTTAATCCCTTTCCATGGGTAATAGATGGGGATGCACCTCTATCTCCCCGTGCAACACATTCCAGGGCAGTCTCACTGGGGGACACCTCAGGCGCCTGCTCCTGGCACATCTCTTCCCTTGCCTTTTGGCCTGGTCAACCCACTGTCCAATGGGAAATTCCAATTCAAAACCCTCTCTGACTCCCCTTGGGTTGTCTCCTAAAATCCTTCCAGGCACAAGGCCTGCAAGTA